CGTAAACGTTTAAGGTTTTTTTCGTTTACTTTAGTTCTTGTAGTTTTTACTTTGTTTGTTAATAGAGTCTATATAGAACAGTAATTTAAATTAACTACACACACACACACACACACACACACACACAAACACGCATGCACACACAATTAAGACCTGGATTTGAAGTCCAGCTCTGACTGGTTTGCGTATGACCTTGGGCAAGTCTTGTTACTTTGCTAGTCTCCGACTCTTTATCAGGGGAACAGGAGCCGGATGGCGGTGGGTGATCATACTGCTGGTTTCTCCCAGAACTCTTTCTGATGTCAAGAAGGCAGCATCAGGGGGTGATACTAAATTGGGCTTTGTAGTCAAGACTTTCAAGTCTTGGCTCTGGCATTTATGAGCATATGACCTTGATTCCCCATGCAATGCTTGGCTTTTTTCTTTTTCTTTTTTTTTTTTTCAGTTTGACTTTTCTATCTGGATGAAAAATATGTAATGTTGGATGTCGCTGCTGACAGAACTGTGGCCAATGCTGCACTATTTATATTGCTGGTACTTTCGACGCTTCAAACATGTTTTGGCAATATTAAAAAAAAGGTTCCCTCTGCAAAGTTGTTGGGGGAGCAAATGCTCCCCTCCCCTACCTTGAGCCTGGAATCCCAAACTACTGTGTGTATTGGGGTCAGGAGCCCTCTTATGCATGCCCCAACCATCAGCCCCAACCAGGAGGGGTGAAGATTGTGGCAGGGGTTATCCCTTGCAGCTTGTGCATGCATGTGCGCGCGCGCACACACACACACACACACACACACACAGCTATGCACAGACCCGGCCTGATTAGAGTCAGAAGGACGAAAAGAGCCAGATTAAATATGTCTTGATTATGCGAGCTTGTGCTCCTGTTTATTTCTCATAAATAAGACATGAGCCCTGTTTTCCACCCCTAACACACACACACACACACTTCCTGGGGGTGATATTTATTGTATGCAAATCAGAAACTGAACTGGGAGGAGAAGTAATCACCTGTTTATCAGATGGCAAGTAGATCAGGCAGAAAATAATAACCCTGGGTGACAGCACCACATCCATTTGAAAGGAGATGACATAGACCTGTGTCTGGATGTACCCTGCTCTGGACAAGTCAAGGGCTGGACCGGGGACCCACTGCCCCACTGCCTGCTCAGGTCAGCCAGGTGCCCCGTGCTCTGCCCAGTGGTGTGTACAGGGTAACTGGGGCGGGAGGGCGGAGGGGTGGGCAGCACAGAATTCAGAAAACAGCAGGAGGAAGACAGCAGTTACCGGCCACCTGCCTGAGCTCTGGCAGCTGTTTGCAGGAAAGAGGCTGTGGCAGGCAGACCTGGTTCAAGTGTGGGATCTGCTGCTTCTGGCTGTGTGACCTTGAGCAAGCTGCTGCGCTTTGCTGGGCCCCCATCTCTTCATCTGTGGAATGAAGATAATCCCCCTTCCGTCTCGTAGGCGCTGGGAGCATGAGAGGACTCGGGCATGTCTGGAGCAAGGCACCTGGAGCCACCCTAGACCCTTCTTTCTTCACCTCCCTCCCCCCGTTTCTGCTTCCTAACATTTCTTGCACGTGAACACTGCCCGGCACCTTGTGAGTGTCTGGTACCTGCTACATCATTGTCCATCATTGCTCAGCGCTCTCCGACTCTCCCAGACTGACCCCCTCGTGAGCTTCCCTCCATCCCCTCTAACCCATTCCTCACTGTCCAGGGCAGAGAGAGGGCTCCTTCTCATGTCCAAATCCCATCAACACATCGCCCCTGCTCCATAGCCTGCTGTGGCTCCTTGGTGCCCTCCACACAAGAAATCCACAGCCCTCCCTGCGCCCCGCGAGGATCCTTGTCCTGTGCCCAGTCGACCTCAGCAACCTGCTGGCTGCCTCTCAGATCTTTTTTCATGTCCTTAAATATGCCGAGCCGGTTCCTGCACCAGGGTCTTTGCCCTTGTTGTGCCCTTTGCCTGGAATCTTCTGCCCCTGGCTCCTTTTCCACCAGGCTACTTAAATGTTACCTCCCCAGGGAAAGCGCTCCATCTAAATTAGGTCCCCTGGCGGCTATTCACCCTCTCTGAAAACCTTGTCAGTTTCCTTCATGACACTGCTCACAATTTGTCATAATGTTATTTATTTGGGTTTACTGGATTGTGGCTGTCTCACCAGTCAACTGTGAGCTTCAGAGAGCCGGGACTGGGTCTGTTTTGCTCACCATGGTGGCCCCGTGAGCTGGTGCATGAGTAGGATGCCCTCTGAAGGGCCAAATGGCCACTGTGGTCTGAGGCACTGGGGGAGTGGCCAGAGAAGAGGGGTGCACTGGGCTGGGGACCGAGCTTCTTGTCCTCCTCCCCCAGCTCCCTGCCAAGTCCAGGGCCCCCCAAGGGATGTTTTCTTGCCTCTCCCTAATGGCCTGACATACAGGGCCCCGGTGATAAACCTCCCTCTGATAAAAGATGCAAAACTAACATCTGGCGGTTAATTAATAAAGAGCAGCGGTGTCTGGCTGGGGCACACAGTGTGCTGATGCTGGCTTTTTCTTCTCCTGCCCCAAGAGATGCTGACACCGTGAGCGAAAATGGGGGGCGGGGAAGATCAATTTGGAGCAGGCCCTGCTGACGAGGCTCCCCAGGGGCAGGACACTCCCTCATCCCCTCTTTAGGGGGCTGACACTCAGTCCGCCACTGCAGGGGCAAGGGTGGCGAGAGGGGAAGTCTCATTTACTGAGTACCTATTATGTGCCAGCTCCCGTATCTCATTCATTACTTCCGGAAGCCCCACAAGGTGACTGTATCTCTCCTCATTTACACACAAGGAAACGGAGGCTCAGCTGTCTGTCCCAGAGCCCGGGCTTCTCCTCCCTCACTAGGAAGCAGAGGTACTGGGGAGTCACTGGGGGCTCTTGTCACAAATACAGGCTCTGGGCCCCAGCATCCAGGCTCTGCCCGTCCAGGCAGGGCCCAGGGGTCTGTATTCGTAACAAGTCCCCCATGAGGTTCTGGAGCAGGTAGAATGGGTAGCTCACCTTGGAAGACACCGGTCTTGTGAATACTAGCAAACATCACTGAGTACCTACTGTATGCCAGGCGCCAGGCCAACTGCAATAAGGCTACGAAGCAGGGAAGACGGATGTCTCAATTTGACAGACACAGCCCAGAGAGGGAAAGAGACTTGCTCAAGGCCACACAGCAATGCAGGCAGGCTCGAACCCAGATCCTCTGATCGCCCCCAGCCCCAGGCTGCCCAGCTGTTCCCACCTGGCCTCTGGAGAAGAGAAAGAACCCAGCTTCCCAGCTGCAGCCATTGCCTGCTGCGACCGAGCCGCTGAAACATTAATTGAGCTAATATTTCAATTACTTCTTGGGGCACCTGGGCAGGCCTGGCCCCCAACCTCAGCTGAATGTGAGCACCAGAGTGACCTTCAGCAAGCCAGTAGGGGGCCCTGGTGAAGAGAAAGCCAGGATCTGGCTGTGGACTGAGGCTGGGGGTCAGCCCACAGCTCCTGCGGGTTTCTGGCTGACGGGTTCAAACCTTAGCCTCATAACTTTTGGGCTGCGTGAACCTCTTTGGGCCTCAGTTTCCCCATCATCTCTGCTCACAGGGTTCTTAGGAGAGTTAAAGGATGTCAAATGCTTAGCACAGGGCCTGGTATGGAATAAAAGCCGACGCACAATTGCACTGACAGGCGTGTGGATGTCTTGCTAGTACTCTTCAGAGTGTGATGCTGAGAGCTCATGAGTGCATGCTGCTTACCTGCTTGGGGGTTTCCTGTCCCAGCTGAGCCCAGCAGCACTCCTTGTGGCTCCTCTGCTCCAGGACCCCCACTTGCTTGCTGGTCTCCGAGGGGCGGCTTG